AAGAAAAAAGGAAAGTGAACGTTCAATGTTCGCCAGGAACATTTCTAGAAGTAAAAACTAGTTGGCGCTATCATAAAGTCACATAGCAGGCAGCCAAAAAGTATATAAATACCAAAACTCGGAAAATGCAATTTTGTTTGTTTACAAAAATTGCAACCATATGTTTTGTGATCATATGTTTTTGTGTTGGATAATTTTTGCTGACTAAAATTTTTCCAGTACAAAATGAACGCTTCTCTTGCATCAAAATGAACGCTTGCTCTCTCAATTTTTGTGTGTTGGATAATTTTTTGTCGTTATCGAACGCCATCCAGTAAAAATTTGGAAAAACTATTACAAATTTTTGACTTGTCGAACGCACCTATTTACAACATATTGAGGGCATAAGGTAATAAACAAAGTGAAATCAATATTTGACGTACGCTTATTTGAAAATTTAAATGTAAACAATTCTTATATTTGTTTACTTAACCCTCTTTCTGCTTTGGTTTGGAACCGAATTCTGAGATAGGGCGTTCTTCAACCAAATTCCGTGATAGAGTATTTTTTAATATTTTCAATATTTTTTTTTCAGAATTTATGCGAGTTGCACTAGAAATCTCCTGATTATCTCGATTTTAGCAAATAAATTAGTCAATAAACCTTTTTTTTGTGAATAACTCTTTACTGATATTTACACATATAAATAAATAGTATTGACGAAGGTACAGAAACCGCACTTGGCAGTGCAGCTGCTTTGTCTCGAAAACAATATGCCAGTACGCAGAATGTCCCCATCTCAAAAGATTTCCCCATATATGTATATATATACACTTTAAGATTAAGGATTCTTTCTCAAATTAACTACTGCAAATCAGGACCATATATTATGACTAAATTGGCTAAAGTATAAATTGTATGCGATTTGGCGCACTGCGGTTGAAGTTATTGGACGATATTTTCACGATGTGCCTTTGCACTAATGCATTTGAGAACATACCCACACTTTGATCATTACCTCTCATCTGATGAAATAGCAGGTAACATCTTTGTTGGTACTGCATCTGGATAGAGGCGTCTTCTCTTGGCATTAATACTTGCATAAATGATATCATTCGATTTGAAGTGCAGAGCGCAAACTTTCGATGATCCAGTTGGTTTAACACCACACGCATTCATCCAATCCCTTCCTTGCATAAAATCTGTTGGCACACGAAACATACCTAACATAAACAGCAAGTATCGGGAATTTTAAACAAATTGTTTTCTTTTTGTTCTTTAATTTCTAAAACAGTGTTATTTTTGATTTGAAATCAAAATTTTTTTATTTTGAAATTAATTTATAATGTTGCTAGTTTCAAATGGGTTAAGGCAATGACAAAACCGTTGTCATATAAGCGTATAAAAAATAAATATGTCATATATTGATTTCACTTTGCTTATTACACTATGATTGAGGGGTATTCTGGTTTTCGTACGAATCGAAAATTTGAAATTTTTGAATATAAAATGATAGGAAAATTTCATCATTTTCGATTCGTACGAAAACAAGAATACGCCCCATTATCAAATGAAATGTTCAAAAACACTTTGATACAGAAATGTTTCAAATGTGTTGCCACTGAATTTATTTAATAAAACTAATACTGAGGGTTTTTAGTAATAAAGATGAAATAGATATGAATTGTTTACGCAACGAAAAATATTATGGGAATTTATGGAAATGCGTAAATGCCTTGTACCCGCGTAAACCTCGTAAATTAACCAATTTTCCATACAAAATCAATAAAAATTACTTACAAAAATGTAAAAATAATACTTAGGCCCAATTTCAGATGTCCTATTTAAGTTGTGGGAACTCCACAAACAGCGGCAACTCTGCCAGTAAGGGAACTCTATCGATTATTCATCGTTAACGGTGAGATATATCTTCTCTTGGGAGAAGCGCGAATTATTACTGCGTATTTTTTCTGGAAAAGCCTATTTCTTGGAATTGCTAAAACTTACTATTAAAATCACTTCGTTAATATCAAAGCAAGTTGTTTTCTTTCGACCAGGTGTTGGGCATTAGGAATTTAGTGTTATTTGCAACACTATTCCCTAAATTGGTGACCCCGACGACCTTTTTGGAAGAGCACGAATTGATGGTTACCGAATTCATCAAGTCGTCAATTTATGCACACTCCGCGATATAATCTACGAAATTTAAAAAGAAGAAAATTGATTTTCGACGACGATAGTGACGTATCGATGGCTACGACGCAAGAGCTAACCGACCAGATACGAGAGCTCCAAGCCCAATGGGAAGCGCTACGTGTGGGTGTTTCGGTGCCACCAAGTGGTCCTCGTCTTTCCACACAGCGCATAGCGATTCACTTGCCGAAGTTCACTCGCGCGAATCCACATCTATGGTTTGCACAAGTAGAACGTTCTTTTCGTCTGCATGGCATTAACGAAGATTTTGATAAATTCGATCTGGTAACAGTGCAGTTGGAAGAGGAAGTTTTGCTAGCCGTAGAGGATCTGGTTGCGTGCCCACCGGCATCGGAGAAATATGAGGTTCCCAAGAAGCGGTTACTGGAGAAGTTCGCAGAATCTCCAGAATCGAAGCTGCGTCGGTTGTTGCAAGGTGGAGGTACAGCAGGCTTGAAGCCATCCGAGGTGCTTGCTCACATGCGACGCCTTGCGCCTGACCCGAGTAGTGAAAGCATAATCCTTACACTTTTTTATCGGAGCTGCCGCAGTCGATTCGACCACTTCTAACAGTGTGGGAAGAAACTGATCTGCATAAGCTTGCGAAAATTGCAGATAAGATGCTCGAGGCCATTGGTACAAACACTACGTTTGCAGTAGCATCAACACCACCGAAAGTACCCGACGAAGCTGTAAATGTTGTAGCACCAGCTGGTGCCTCCAAGAATATCAACGATTCGGTTCGTTTACTTACGCAAAAAGTGGACAGCTTACAGAACGATATCAAACGTTTACAGTCTGTCAACCGCTCTCAAAATCGGCCACGTAGCCGTACACGTAGCCAGTCTCCTGGTCCTGGTCAACCATCTCGGCAAACAGATGGGCATAGGGATAGACTCTGTTACTACCACCAAAAGTTCGGCGATGCTGCCCGAAAGTGTCGACCCCCTTGTACGCGTTCTTCGTTAAACTAGCACAGCTGTTGTCAGGAACGTTGTCGGACGACAGTGTAGTTTCTACCAGCGAAAATCAAGCGATCACCGTCCGAGAGACGAGATTACATGTTTTCGACAGTATTTCGCATACACATTTCCTTATCGATTCGGGTTCGGTCGTCTCAGTTCTTCCGCGTATGCAAGTTACGCACAAGACCAATCAAGGAGACTTACTCTTGTATGCGGCGAATCAAACAACAATACACACATACGGGACCATTGTGGTTCATTTGAATTTGGGACTTCGACGTAGTTTTAAGTGGCCATTCATAATTGCCGATGTCCAAGCAGCAATCATCGGTGCGGATTTTTTGACGAATTTTCAACTACTGGTCGATCTCAAAAACCAGCAACTAATCGACTCGGTCACTGGCCTTAAGACCATCGCATGTTTGACTAGGGTGGAAAAAGATTCTGTTTCCACGTTACAGAGTATGACAAAATTTCCTAACCTGTTTCGCGAATATGTTGATGTGACAAACCCCTCTGTCAAGGCTAACCACGCGAAGCATCAAGTCTTCCATTACATTGAGACACAGGGAGCACCAGTATCAGAGCGACCTCGTCGTTTGGCAGGCGAAAGTTGGCCACTGCTAAAGCTGAAATCAATTTTCTCATCGAACAGGGAATTTGTCGACCCTCTAAGAGTTCGTGGTCAAGTCCCCTTCATATGGTAGCGAAAAAAGATGGTGGCTGGCGTGCGTGTGGGGACTATCGTAAACTCAACGCAATCACTGTGCCGGATCGATATCCAATCGCGCACTTGCACGATTTCACTGATAAATTAAACGGGAAAAAGGTTTTCTCGGCTCTCGATCTAGTAAAAGCTTACTATCAGATTCCGATGGCGGAAGATGATATTAAGAAGACTGCGGTTTGTACCCCATTCGGTTTAGTAGAGTTTCTGTTCATGCCTTTTGGACTTAAAAACGCTACTCAAACGTTTCAGAGATTTATGGACGACATTTTTCGGGGTATTGAACTCGTATATTGTTATATCGATGATATACTCATAATGTCGGAGACAATGATGGAACATGAGCAACACCTTCGCACAGTTTTTCAGATCCTCAGAAAGTACGGATTGCACATCAACGTCAGCAAATGTCAGATTGCACAGTCAGAGGTGCGGTTCCTCAGCTATGTGATCAGCGAACACGGCATCAAACCTCCGGCGGATCGAATTGCGGCTATCACGAACTACAAACGTCCAAAGACAATCAGCGATTTGGGTCGTTTTCTTGGTGTCGTAAATTATTATCGCAGATGTTTACCGCATTCCTCGCATATTCAAGCACCGCTAACGGAGTTGCTGAGAAATGTCAAAAAGAACGACAAACGGGAGGTGGACTGGACATCTGAGCTCGTTCGTGCATTCGACGCCTGTAAGCGCAGTGTGGCTGATGCTGCACAACTGGCGTACCCAGATCCCGGAGCGAAATTGGCTCTGGTGTGTGATGCGTCTGATGTCGCCGTGGGGGCAGTTTTGGAACAGCAGACGGATGAGGATTGGCGACCACTTGGGTTCTTTTCAAGGAAACTGAGCGAATCGGAGAAGAATTATAGCACATACGATCGGGAATTGCTTGCAATCTACGAGGCTATCAGGTATTTCAAGCACTTGATTGAAGCACGCATCTTTGTGATCAAAACGGATCACAAGCCTCTAGTTTATGCATTTAAGCAGCGGCTAGAAAAAGCATCACCTCAACAACGTCAACCGTCAACAACGACAACTATGTTACATTTAACAGTTTTCCACCGCAATCGTTCAGGTGCAAGGCGCAGACAACGTTGTCGCAGACGCCTTGTCTAGGTTATGCGCAATCACTATGCCGACGGCTGTCAGTTTAAGTAAAATCGCTGAGGCCCAGGCTGCTGACCCTGAACTAACACAGTTGCTAAACGGAAGCACATCGTTAAAGTTGAAGTCAATAAGGTACGACGACAATGTAATGCTTTACTGTGACACCTCGACCGGCTACGTTCGTCCTTATGTTCCGGGAAGCCTACGACATCAAGTGTTTGCCTCTGTTCATGGTCTCGCTCATCCGAGTGGCAGATCAACGCTACAACATATACGTCAGACATATGTCTGGCCAGCGATGAATAAGGATGTGATTCAGTGGTGCAGAAGCTGTTTACCTTGTCAACGGGCAAAACTCAGCAGGCATAATCATCTAACGCCAGAAAAGATTATTGTTCCAGACGCTCGTTTCGACCATGTTCACCTAGACATTGTGGTCATGCCGTTACGACGAAATTTTTGATACTGCCTCACGATGATTGATCGGTTTTCTCGTTGGCCAGAAGCCGTGCCATTAACAAACATCACTGCAGAAACTGTTGCAACTGCTTTTTGGACGCATTGGGTAGCACGCTTTGGGACTCCAAAGACGATTACGACGGATCAAGGGACGCAGTTCGAGTCAGCTGTATTCAAAGAACTGGCGAAGCTTATGGGAAGCAATCACATCCATACCACGGCTTATCACCCGCAGTCCAATGGGTTGGTTGAACGGTGGCACAGAACGTTCAAGGCGGCGCTCATGTGCAATGACGAGTTGCCCTGGATTGATCTATTACCAACTGTTTTGCTTGGACTGCGTTCCTGTTATAAGGAATCCTTGGGAGCATCCACCGCTGAAATGCTGTATGGCGCACCACTACGAGTCCCTAATGAATTTTTTGATGACGTCGAAGCAGATGTGGCATCAGCAACATTCCTGAACTATCTCCCACAACACATACGTCAGATACGACCAAGCCCAACAGTCCACCATGTTAAGGAGAAAATGCTTTTACTCAAGGGCATCGAAAATTGCTCGCATGTGTTCATCCGGTCCGATGCTGTAAAGCAACCTCTCGAGCCGCCGTACACTGGTCCGTTCGAAGTTGTTCAAAGAGAAAACGAGAGGGTATACAAGGTGAAGATCAATGACAAAGTGGTAGCCGTTTCAGTAGACCGACTTAAACCAGCGTTCTTCATTAGAGATGATCGTCAAGTTAACCAGCAAAGTTCTACCGACGTGCCTTCGAGAGCAAATGGTAGGCAACACCGTGTACACTTCGACTAATCGTGACACAGTCACTGGAGAGGGAGTACTGTGGGAACTCCACAAACAGCGGCAACTCTGCCAGTAAGGAAGCTCTATCGATTATTAATCGTTATCGGTGAGATATATCTTCTCTTGGGAGAAGCGCGAATTATTACTGGATGCTTTCCATTTCCAGACAACCGGTCAGGTACGAGCATGATTTTTAATTTCGACCAAACTCAAATACATTGTTTGTTGGTCCAAATAATGAGACACGTATTTTTTCTTTTGGCTCGGAAAAATTTTTCGGCCGAATTAAACGCGATTATGTTTTTCAGGCAAAAATCGATTATTCGAATTGACAGTGAGAATGTTTTTTTAAAATGCCCATAACTTTGTCAAAATTTAATAGATTCCAACAATGTTTTTACTCAAATGTCAGTAATTCTTGTCACTTCAAGATAGAATGATATAATTATTGATTTTCATTATTTAAAATTTTTTATTTAACAATAAACAAAAAGTGCATATTTTTTTTTAAATTTAATTTCTCTAAAAGTGTCTTTTTTTTCTCTCAAACTTTTTTACCGGGAAAGAGACACTTTGAACTACAATGAACCCAAATCTCTAATAGCGAAGATTTTTTTTCTGAGTTATGATTTTTTATAGAAAATATACGTTTTTGTGGTACATACTACAATATTCTTATTTTGTTTAACTAAATGGAACATATGTATGTAATATATCAGCAAAAAGTACAACCGTGATCATTTTTTGTGTATCAAATAGATATTAGAACACACTTTCCACCATACAATTTCGATTATAAAAAGCGTGAAAATGTGATTTTGTATTTCGAAACTGTATGGTGGAAAGTGTGTTCTAATATCTATTTGATACACAAAAAATGATCACGGCTGTACTTTTTGCTGATATATTACATACATATGTTCCATTTAGTTAAACAATATAAGAATATTGTAGTATGTACCACAAAAACGTATATTTTCTATAAAAAATCATAACTCAGAAAAAAAAATCTTCGCTATTAGAGATTTGGGTTTGATTGTAGTTCAAAGTGTCTCTTTCCCGGTAAAAAAGTTTGAGAGAAAAAAATACACTTTTTGAGAAATTAAATTTAAAAAAAAAATGCACTTTTTGTTTATTGTTAAATAAAAAATTTTAAATAATGAAAATCAATAATTATATCATTCTATCTTGAAGTGACAAGAATTACTGACATTTGAGCAAAAACATTGTTGGAATCTATTAAATTTTGACAAAGTTATGGGCATTTCAAAAAAACATTCTCACTGTCAATTCGAATAATCGTTTTTTGCCTGAAAAACAAAATCGCGTTTAATGCGGCCGAAAAATTTTTCCGAGCCAAAAGAAAAAATACGTGTCTCATTATTTGGACCAACAAACAATGTATTTGAGTTTAGTCGAAATTAAAAATCATGCTCGTACCTGACCGGTTGTCTGGAAATGGAAAGCATCACTGCGTATTTTTTCTGGAAAAGCCTATTTCTTGGAATTGCTAAAACTTACAATTAAAATCACTTCGTTAATATCAAAGCAAGTTGTTTTCTTTCGACCAGGTGTTGGGCATTAGGAATTTAGTGTTATTTGCAACACTATTCCCTAAAAAGTAGAGATTAGGTGCATTCTTTTGCAAACGCAAAGCAACAGCGGCTATTTACTTGAGTTCAGCCAGGTCGGTTAAAAAATACGCGACTTGAAGGGTAGTGTTGGTAAGTGAGAAACTGCTCTATTGTGAATTGTTAATGGGAAAGTGGAGAGGGAAATTTTTGTTTCCTTATATACGTGACTTATATTATAAATAAGTATATGTATTTCGCAAATACCTCGCATAATTACTCATTTGAATTGGTTTTTGTATCTAAATCCCATTAAACTAATCACATGTTTCTTACCAGC